CATAAATGCTCAGCCAGCATGAACTTGCATCCAGACCTAGTGGCCCTGATATGTCTGTTCGTGGTCCAGAAGGGAAACTATTTTTTTCACCTTCCCCCATTGTAGGCTATTCCTGCCAGCAGCCTCAAAGCTCCTGACGTATTATTAAAACAGCCTCAGAGAAAGTAAATATGACCAGTGGAAAACAAAAAATATCACCCAAATGTCCAAGGAAACCATGAGCAGAGGCACTGAGCTGCATCCAGCACAGATTTTTCAAAAGGACAAGGATTTTCATGGCTCAGTGTTCTAATTTGTTTGACTGTTTATTTCCAAGGAACACATCCAAGAGTGACAAGCTCCATTTATTTCAATGGGCAGCATATGCCAGCAACGTGAATGGCGTACGCTATAAAGGAGAATGGATGTTCTCGAGCATCCTAGAAAGCTGTCCTTTCGACAGACAGAGGACGTGTAGGTAATGGAAGTGCAGCTCTGCTCTGACAAGCAACACCATAAAAGCAGCATTGTGGGTTCTCATGTTTGATGTCTCTCCATGGCAGCTCTGTGAGATTTACTCAGGCTACAAGTGAAAAATGACTTTCCTAATACCCGGGCCAGTGCTGGAGAAAGCAGCTGGATTCTTTCATTATTCTACTTTCCCAGACCAGAAGGCCATCTCCTTGGGACAAATGGACACTTCAGGGTGTTAGTGCTATAACCTTTTAAACTTTTAGGGGGTACACACCAACCCAGACTATTCTCACAAATGACATCACCTTCAAATCATCATGTGACACAAGTATGAGATGTCCACACAAATAAGTACCTCCTCTCCATAAGATACCATCACATGGCAGTACTGTTTTCAGTCCTGTCTCTTCCTACTATACCCTGAAGATAATCCTTTTCTGAATCTTGCCTTTCCATAGCCCAATCCCACTGGCCTCTGAAAAACTCTGAGTTGTGAGGCTCTGTCACAAATTCAGCACCACTTATGATTTGATATTGTCTGGTGGCCTGTGATGCTTTGCTGTAAGTCTCATAGCAGTGGGCAACTTTTATTTGCTATCATTAATGAATTAACTAGTATTGGTTCTATGCTAGGTCTTCTCTAGTGAACAGTCTGGTTCATAAAGTTTTACTGGGTTGTCAGCAAGCCCTGAAAGTCAAATAGAGTGATTTTCTTCTTGCTTTTCAATAAGATGACCCCTACAAAGGTGGGATGTGTCTTTATTGATATTGAATCTTTCTCTGGACACCTTTCATTCTCGTTAGATTTAAGAAGTTGCTGGGAAGGAGCAGGTGAGCTGCAATGCCATCCACAGGAAACCACTTCCATTCTCCTATACCTCCAGCCTTGGGAGTATTGTCTCAAGCCAAGTAAAGAGAAAGAGATACTCATGGCTCCCTTCACAGCCCTCCAGCACAGCAAATTATAATCTCAGCTTCTCCTCCATGAGATGGCTGTCCACCTGTGCTTCAAGGCTCACGGTCATGGATTTAGACTGCAGTAAGGCTGCAGCCATACAATATCCCTGGGTGTCTGTACAAACTGGAGACCCCTGTTGGGCCTCTGTTTTTCTTATTCACTTTTTCTTCATCGAGTGCAGCTTGTAGGTTGCAGTTTGACCTTTTACAGAGAAGCCAAACCAATCCTACTCATGCCATTGAGGTCATCTTTGATACAGTTTGGGAATCTCAGCTTGTCTTGATGCCAGTGAGGTACTTCCTTAGTGAAGAGACCAACCGTAGACTTGCACTGGCCATGCCTATATTGGGGGATGCAAATCATAAGGTGACCTTGCATCTATGCAGCTTTCTTTGGGACCATACTGATTCCCAACATGCAGGTCTCCACTTGTTGCAAGCTATTTCCGAAGGAAAAGACACAAAGAGCTTGAGGAAGAGCTTTAGTCATCCCTCCTTTGTCAAAGTGGAACTTCTAGTTTCCATCAATTGCACTTTTAACCCTTAATATCTGATTGTTTCTGGTGACTTCCACACCTGGGCCAGTTGGCCCTGTGAATGTTAAGCTCTTGAAACCAGCTTCTTCCTCCAGCTTGAGTGGCGAGAGGCAGGAAAGCTCTCTGCTGGGAGAATTTGGCTCTGCTTCTGGGCCTTGGGGGTTTGTATGCTCAGACAAGAGACAGGCTGTCAGCTCCAGCATTTCTGACTGGCTTTTTAAGGCTAAAGATACAGAGACTACACCCTGAGTCTTGCAGCTGATGGGAGAAGATTTGTGGTATCACAACAGGGAAGTTTAGGTAGGCATCCCAGGTCAGGGGTAGACATGCCCAGGCCAAGGTGGGAGCCTCTAGATTTAACCCATCTGGGAGCAGAGTAGTGGTGGAATCACATCCCAGTGGCGGTAACCTGTGCTTTATGAGGTGTCAGAAATGTGCATCATAGCTGAAGAGCATTGAAAAGCAACTCTTTGGTCTTTTCCTGGAAATTAAAAGTAAAAAGCAAGCCACATGATGACAGCATCTGTGGCAGAGAGCAGGCTGGCTCACATGAATTAGCAGCTTCCTGGCTGTTACCTATAGCAGCTGTAGCCAGCTACTTATTCCATCACCTGCAGCTTCTGTGGGCTGAGACCTCAGACTTACACCTTGAGAAGCGCTGGAAATGCCCCCAGCACTGAGCCGTGGTCAAATAAGAGCTGAAGAAGGCCTCCTTCACAGTTTTCTCATTGAAGTGTGGGATGGTCATTTGATGGAATGGGACCTTGGGCCTTGCACTGTGGAGCACAGTGACCTTGAACTGCTCAGATCCTGATCTCCAAAGAGCACCTGTGAAAGTTGCCAGAAACCTGGGCTTAATGGAGATGTGTCCCAGCCTCAGTGATTTGCATCTGAATCTTCCTGGCAGTCCCATTGTGGCCAAGGATAATTGGACCAAGCACTTCCACAAGCAGTGGGATCATGCTGGATATCTATGAAACCAGTGTCAGTATGTGGGGTCAGAGCATCTACACAAGTGACAGCCTCCTGCTGCCTTGGAGACTTGTTATAGGAAGGGTAAGGGAGATAAATTGCTAAATTTCCCTTGGAGAAATGTTCACGAGGATCCCCTTTCAGGCATTTCTTTTCCTAGAGGGCCAGGTGACATGCAGGGAGATTGTATTCTTTGCTAGGGTATCTACCATTTTCAAAAAAATAGACAACCCCCCCAAATTATTCAGGCATGCTACTCATTCTCATTAAGGTCCTGTAAATCATAATAAGTGCAGAAGCTCTCCCCATTTGGAGATCTCCCAGCCTGTTGCATATGGGTGAACTGCAGGGATCCCTGCAAGTGTTTTCCTGCCGCCTCACCCCCACCCATCCTGCTGATGGGACCTGGAATGACCCATAGAGCTGCTGGTGAGCAGTAAGACCAGTTCTGCTCTGTCTCACTCACCCTCCTGCTGCCCCTTTACGCGGGCTCTGAAGGGTGCCTAGCAGCTCAAGCTCCTGTCACAGAAAAATCCCAACAGAAGACAACTATTACACCAAGAAAAGTGGCTACGGCCCCCATTTGAAGGGATCTGCAGAGAGGGTGATGAGGATCAGAATGGAGAAGGGGCTGCCATCTGGGAGGGACTGGGGCAAGACGGCAGCAAGAGGAGTCACTTTGGTCACAGGCATACCCTGGCTCTGGCGTGCAGGCCCTGGCTCCATCCAGCCTCTTGTGAGCAGAAAAGCCACAGACTCATGGCTGGCTCCCTCGCCTCATTGTCTGTGCACTGGAGCAGGGAGGGCAGAAGGCAAAGGGACCAGGGGGGCCTTTCTGCCCCCCCCAGCTGTGACAGGTCCATGACTGCCACAGATCAGGATTGGGAGTGGGTGGGAGACAGGACATGGGGACCACCAAAACAAATGAACTAAAAAAACAGTCTGATGATTCTCCACATGCTTGGTGTACATGATGCAAATTGATGTTTAAAGCTTATTTATTATCTTACATGCGAAATGCCAGCGGTGTTTTTCTATATCAGTGGGTATCCGATATTTGGTCGGCGGGGAGACGACGGCAGTGGGAGCGAGCATGTCTAGAGACTGTATATCCAGAGGCTAGGGTTTATATCATGGGCTGCTCTCGACTGTTATAATTTGTGGCACAGATTCAGCGAGAATCTGATCTGCTGAAAATATTTGGGCTGTGAAAACTCCCACACTGTGACAGATGTCAAGTCCAATTAAGTGACTCGTGTCCAGGTTTCTGTCCAATAGGCTTTCCCATTAAATACCAATTTAAGAGGGAAAAAATGCCGCCCCCTTTTCTCCGAGCCTTTATCTCTTCCGACCATCTCTAGGCGAAACCCTTTGGTACGAGAAGTGGATCCGCACGCATCTCCGCTCTGTCTGTCTATCTGTCTCGCCGTTGCCACCTTCCGCACCCCCCCTTGGCTTCTTTGCCACTCCGGGAGGGGTGGGAGGAGGAACTGCACTTTCTTTTTGTGCATGTGAGCGTACCTTTTCCTGCGCCGCCGTTATCTCTCGCAGCCGCTCCGAACCCGCGCCGAGATTTTCGTTTATTTTGTTTTGCTTTTCTTTTTCAGCGTTCGCATATTTTCCTTTATCCTTACTCGAAAGATGCAGGAGGAGTTAGGAAGCTCAGGGACGAATGGGGGTTTCGTTTATCCTTTTTTTTCCTCCCCTCGCCAGTTCTTGAAGGACTAGAAGAAAAACTAAACCAAACATTCATTTTCCGACGGCGTCTCTCCCCTCCTCCTGCCCCTCTCCGCCGGACCGGTGAATTAACAAAACCGCAGGTTAAAACCCCATCAAAAAAAAAAAAAAAAAAGAGAGAATAGAGAAGAAAGGAGGGAGCGACGCATTGTTACCCCGACCCGCGGCGTGCCTGCGCGCCGGGCCGCGGCGGAACAAAGCGGCAGCGCCGCGCCGGGCTCCGCGCCCCGGGCTCCGCGTCCGGCCCGGCCCGGCAGCGGCGCGGCCGCCGCTGGAAAAGAGAGGCCGAGGGGACGGGAGACAGGGAATAATTCCGAACGGTGCCGGTGCTGTCGCAGCATCCCTTTTGTTATTTATCGCGACCGGGGAAGAGGAGGAAGAAAAGCGGGGGAGACGGCACTTTTCCCCCTGTAAAACCGACTGGGCGCAGCCGCCGGGGCGCTTCATCCCGCTGCCCCGAATAAACGGGCGGAGGAGGACTTTGATGGGGGAAATGCTTTTTCCTCCCCTGATGCATCGTAAGTAACTTAAGTTGTTATTCATACTCCGCAAACAAACACGGCGATAACATCTCCTATCTCCGGAGCGCTGGAGGCCGCGGCGAGGGATGAGATCTGCCTTTACCCATCCGAGCAGGACACTTTTCCGCTCGTAACTAATTTGATTTGATTTTGATTTTTTAATTTTTCCATGCTCCGCTCCCGGAGGGTCATTTGAACTGTAAAGGAATCGCCGAGGGGGCGAGGGGACCTGGAGAGAGAGGCTGTCCAAACGACTCCACCGAGGTAAGCAGCCTTAATAATATCTCCCTTTTGCAGGTAGCACGGGGGATGGATTTACTGTAATAACAACAACAACAACAAAATAGAGACGGAGACAAAAAGTCTCTTTCTGGATCAGCTCGCTAAAACCCACCATACGGATAAAAACCCAAACCAAAGAGAAAAATTCAACTCACACCGCAGAGAAACCTCTAAGCAACTTTCTTCAGGAAGCGCCTCTTTAATTGCCCGTTTTCGTACAACCGCGCTGCAAATCCTCCCTCTCTAGTGTGCTTTCGCATGAGCCCCCTCGCTTAAATCCCAGCTGAAAGGTGATTTTAAACCTTTCTTATGCATCTTTTTGCCCCACGAGATCGCTGATACCTGACCTGCGCGCTAGCCGGGATTTTTCCCTACCCCTGCCTTGTGGGCCTGATTAACGCTCCTTATTAAAAATCGAAGAGGAAGCGTTTCCGACGACCCTGGCAAGAGGCGGCCCTTTCCCAGGGAAGGAAGCGCTCTCCTCTCGCCCTCCCCAGCACTGACCCCCTGCGCACCCCGGGGAGTGCAGAGCCCCGGCCCCCGTTGGAGCCCCGCTGGCCCGCCACGCGTGCCCCACTTCTCGTCCCGTGGGGGGAGGCTTGGCTCTAGCCCTGCCTGGGAAGAATTCCTCCTGCCCGTATTATTATTATTATTATTATTATTATTATTATTATTATTATTATTATTATATTTTCCCCAACCGGGTCTGCTGCCCGAGTGGGACTTTCCCTGGAAACTTTATGTGGAAATACTTGACAGTCTGAATTCGGGGGAAGGGAGGATGCGATGTTCCCTCCTCCCTCGGTCTCTCTCCCCACCTCACTCGACACCCCAGCCGTAAACACACACACACACACATACACACGCACACACACATTTGTGTCCAAGGTTATTCACTAGTTGCCTGATGTATTGTTTTATTACATGCCGGCATGTCCACGGACGCGCTCGGATTTGTATTGCTGTCTACATGACAGATGGTGCTCTGTGAGGCCGCAAGAAGATACGATTCAATTTTCTTTTGAAAGGCACGTTCGCGTTTATTTATTTATTTATTTAGCCTCCCCCCCTTTTCGCGCAGGGAGGGGAGAGGAGGGAAAATTTAAAAGGATGGAAAAGTTCTGCCGCAGCTTTAGGGTTTTGTTTCTTTTTGAATCCCACGCTTAGAAAACGGAGACTCTCCCAACATCCCCATTTGGTAACTGGCAAATCGGTATATGCACAAGTAGCAGCAGGAAAAGTAAAAAAAAAAAAGAAAACGGGAGTCCAAAGAAAAGAGCGGAGCGGACAGCCCAGCAAATACATCAGATCCCGTAGGGACTGGGGAAATAAATCTCCCCACTGGCCTTGTTATGCATGAGGAACCTTGATCTGTGTATTTAAAAGCATCATGTCTGTAGCCTGGATCCCGTAGAGTGTTACCGAAAGAGAAATGGTTAAGCAGAAATTGGTAGGCCAGAAAAGACTCTTTAAATTCGGGGTGGGGGACGGGAAATCGACATAATATTGAGCCACTGGATATTAGCTTGTTTGAAAAAAAAATAATTATATTCTATTATTGCTCTCCGGGCCTGTTCCTACACCCAAGCAAGCGCCCGGAATAACGGCAGGGAGTATATTCCGCTGAAGCTGCCGTCAGACTCTAGAAAGGGAATGGTTAAATGAGGGGGCATCGTTTACCCCGATATTCCTCCCATTAGTACTCCTTGAAGCAGCCGCGACCCGCCCTCCCGCTGCCGGCCCGGCTCTCCCTAAGGCGGTACCGGCGCCGGGGGCAAGGCGCGGGGACCGGCATGTCCCTTGTGTCCGTGCCCGTGTCCCTGCCCCGTGCCTTGCCCCTGTATCCCCGGTGTCCTGACCCGCTCTCTCCGCTTTCTCTGTCCCGGGAAGGCTCCTCCGCCCCCTCCAAGATGATGCTTAGCCCGGACCAAGCCGCCGACTCCGACCACCCCTCCTCGGCGCCCTCCGACCCGGAGTCCCTGGGCGGCGCGGACGCCCAGGCTCTCAGCTGCTGCGTGTCCGACCCGGAGCCCGCCGAGGGCGGCGGCGGCGGCGAGGGCCGGGGCGGCGGCGGGGGTGGCGGCGGGGAGGGCCGTGGCGGGGGCCGGCCGGGGCTGCACCCGCCGCCGCTGAGCCGGGAGGAGAAGCGGCGGCGGCGCCGCGCCACGGCCAAGTACCGCTCGGCCCACGCCACGCGTGAGCGGATCCGCGTGGAGGCCTTCAACCTGGCCTTCGCCGAGCTGCGCAAGCTGCTGCCCACCCTGCCCCCCGACAAGAAGCTCTCCAAGATCGAGATCCTGCGCCTCGCCATCTGCTACATCTCCTATCTCAACCACGTGCTGGACGTGTAGCGCCCGGCGGGCGCCCGGAGCCCCGGGACACCCCCCGCCCGCCGCCCCGGCTCCGGCCGCGGCGGGCAGCGCCTTCCCCGGGGCGGGCGGCGGGGCGGGGGGGTCCCCACTGCCTGCCCTCCCTCCCCGGGGGTGCTCCCGCCCGGCCGAAAGCCCGCTTTTCGAAGAGAAGTGTAAAACCGGATTGTTTCTTCAGGCTGTCAAGTGCCCCTTTATATATCCAAAAACATCTACTTGTGACCTTAAACGTGTGACCCATGGGTGCAGTTAAAAATAACTATTTTTTATTTATGGTAGAAGGAGTTGACAATTTATTTTTTTCAAGATTTATTTATTTTTCAGAGTGGTGGCAATTTTACTTTGGATACTTCGTGCCAATTGGTTTCTATAGTCGGGTGTTTACACTTTCTTCTGTGGAATATTATGTTTGACTTTATGAGTGTTTGTTGGGATCAATACAGTGGTCATTTTCTTTTCTTTTTAATTTATTTTTTCCCTCCAATTATATTGCACTTGTGTACTACAAACCTCCCCTCCCCTCCTGTTTATAAGTATATTTTATATATATCAAGGCATTTGTTCTTGACCTTTTTTCTTTATTTTCTTGTGTGGGATTGACAACCACTAGCACTTAACTAGAAGAGTTTTTTTAAAAGATTTGTTGTTATTCTGATCTATAGTTCTGTCTGAAAAGTACTTTGCAAATCGCTTATAAGGGAAGTAGTTTCTTTGTGAGTGTATATGTGTGTGTGTGTATACATGCATGTGTGTGGGAGTGAGCGTGGGCGTGTATGTGTGTGGTATATTTTTAGGAAAGGACATTTTTTCCTAAAAAAAAAAGAAAAAAAAAAGAAAGAAAAGTAAATCCAGGACTGCTTTCCTTTGTGACAACCAAAAAAAAAATCTATAACCTGAAAATGTTTCATGTTCTTTGCTGTGAATCTCTTAAAACAAGAAGCGCATTCTAGGGACAAAAGAGAAAAAGAAAAAACACATCTGCTATCCAAAGATTTTAGTCTTTTTCAGGGTTTTTTTGTGTGTCTCTGTTGCTTTATATAATGCAATATTTTGTAGTGAAAATAGATAAATCTGGTTTCTATCTGATGCGTTTTTCATATCTCTCATGAATGGTGAGCTGTTTTGCATATAAATAAAAGTATCAAATAAAAGCTGTTTTTTCCTAATTATTTTTCCCGTTGGTCTTTCTGTAAGACAGAGATGTGGTGCCCTTATGAATAAGGATTGCACAGGCTTCTCAAGTCGTGTGTGAGAAAGCTTCAACAGGTTACCTGCCTCTTCCTAGGGAGACCGGACTGCAGTCCTTCCCCCACAGCTCCCTTGCTCCAGCCACTCTCAGCTGCCTGCCCTGCCCGAAATGCAGAGGAGACACAGGACCCTTGCTGTCACTTTTTCCCAGTCACATCTTGACTGTCATCTGGTCATACATTTCAAAGTTCAGGCTGTACAATCCAATCTGATGCTTGCAAGCACCTGTTTTACCACCTTGCTCTTTGATATGTCTGACTTTGCCACCCAAATGTACATGTTTCATCCTGCCTGAATGCACTGGATTTTCTTGCTCTTGTTTAAATTCAGCTTTAATCCCTCTCTGGCCAGGTCTAATTCTACTGAAAGCAAGGAAAAATCTTGAGCCCTTTCCCTACTTTAGAAAACCTCAACCATACCCTTTTATATAAGGCTTCACTGCCAAATCTTGTCATTTGAAACACAGAACAGATACAGACTCAATGGCAGACAGATACAGACAGGTTATTACCTGAGTAATGTGAGATCTGTATACCATCCCCTTTATTAAATCCTTTTCTTGTTTTCCACAAGAGGTTAATTTTACCTATAATTTGAATATTGCCATTGACTCAGGTGGCTGCATCATCCATTGTTACTTGCTTTACCCTCCCCCCATCCTATTTTTATGGCTGACACTTTGCACAGCAGTTTAATTAAGTGTGGTCTTGACCAATTGAAAAGCTCCATGCAGAAAACCTGTCAGAGACGCTGCTAATTCCACTTTCTACCAAGTGGCATGCTTGCCACGTCCCAAAGGAGCACACATTGGTTTGGTAGTTCAATGCACAATTTTCAAGTCCTGCATCTTTTGGGGCTGAAATAACTCCACCAACTTTGGAGCTGGTTTCCTTTGGGACAGGCTTGTTTCTTAGGTTCAATATCTGGCACTGTGTAGAGTTTGATGGCAATTGCCCAAGCAATATTATAAATCCTGCTATCCAGCAAGCCTTCATGCTACCAGCATTTGTGAGGACCTAGTTAATAAAAAGATAACCATATTATTTCCTTCTTGACAGTGAGGAATGCGTGTTTTAGGGAAGAGAGTGCTCTGCAATACCTGACTGTGAAATATGGTGGCTGCAGTCACTGGCAGTTGATTCAAGCACACTGGTTGTGGGATAAGTAGGTGTGAACCCCACATTCCCCCTGGCCTCACTTCCCCCTCTGGGGGTCTTGCACATGTGTCAGGGCTGAGATAATGCTCAAGCAAGCTCCATGCAGTGAAGGTGTTGCAGATCAAGAAGCACTTACTAGCCCAGGGTCTCAAGATCCCAGCCATGGGATGCCAAAGTGAGAAGCCAGTGAGGCCCCAGTGTTGTGAGCACAGAAGTGTGCAATGTGGAGATGTGTGGGAACAGCTCAGATTTGGAAGTAAGAAAATCTTGTGGGTTGTTACATTTCTACCACCCCCTGAAACAACAGAGAGCCCGCTTGCACTCAGAGAGAGGGCAGGAAGGGCTTTGCTTTTGGTGGTATCCACAGGATCAAGGCTCAAGTTTAACCTGGAGAAGGGTCAGGGCACCTGACCTGAAGATATGTCCTTTTCTTCCTAAGGTTGATATGATGGAAGGCATTGCTTCTCCCTACAAGTCGTGTTTCACTTTCATATGCCCACCACCTTGTTTATATCCTCTCACCACCATAACACCACCCCAACCACTTCTTTTTTTCCTGCTGGCACCAAGAAGGAAATTCTTTGTCATCTAGCAGTTGATAAGTGTTGAAAACAGAATGTAGGTTTTGCTTTGCCATTCCACCCCTTTTGTTTATTCTTGGGAAAGAGCTGAGCAGTATGTACATGATACAAGGCCAATATACTTCAAAAGCTACATGGCTGTGTTCAAAAGTCTGGATTTATGAAGAATGGGTAAACAACTTTAACTCCACCTCACTGCAAGTCTGAGTTAGATGGCAATGAAATCTAATTATACAATCAAAGTTACTTTGCCTATATCTATAGTTCTCTCATCAATAAAGGAATGAATAAACTTGAATGACAATAGGAGGAATGGGGTGGAACTGCTCAGTGGAAGCTTGTATCATGTGTGGCCAATCCAACAACTGGCAGGGAAGAGACACAGTTAATATTTCCTATTTTTTAAGTTACATTCAGATACCTTTCTTTCACAACTAAGGAGGAGGTCATCCTACAAACCATGAAAGTGCACTCAAAGACAGAGAAGGCAGAGCACTACCTCTGGACCTTTAGCTACCTCTAACAGAGGTACCTCTAACAGAGGTACTTTAGGCCTGACTCAATCCAATACATAAAACATTGCATGGAAACCTCCAGCATTCACAGAGAACAAGTACTTCCAATAGATAGATCTAGAATATCCCAGTACAAGGGATATCCAGTGCACCCTTAACACGAGGTGATAACACCTATTAAGACACTTTTTCAGACCTATATGGACTCACAGGGACATGGGTCAAAATACGTATTCACATTGGTATTATTAGGGCATCTAATGCATTCATCTGAACCCTGGAAACAGATCCTGATCCTGATACAGCAAATGAGGACAGACAGTAAGCCAAAAATAACTCCTACAAATGAACATACTGATTTCCATACGACTGTACTAAGGGGGGACTAAGCTAAGGGGGGACTGTATCTGAGTATCATACACTTTCCTAAGAGATTAAAACACCTAAAGCACAAAATATTCCAAAATATGGGCTTTCATTTATGCTGCTATTACATATGCACATACAAAAGGAAGACTTTCTAGCCATAGACAGTGACTCACCAGCAAAGTGTATGGTACCCTGTGCATTCAGGATCACACTACTCCCCAGCCACAGAGTAGTGTCTTATTGCTTGTGTTAAAAAGTGGGTGAGTGAGATAGGATATTACCACTGCCACAGCAGATAAGTTCTGAGGGTCTTGGATGTGATTTGATATATTTGCTGTATTTCTAGCAAAGAGTATGTGCGTATGTATGAGAGAGAGGTGGGGGGGTAGGGAGCTGAAGAGGATGTGGTATATGAAACTCAACAAAGAAATGGACCTTTTCCATTATATAGCTGTGAAGAAATACCAGCAACATTTTATCTATCTATTCACATATCTATCCATCTAGCCATCCTATAACCCAATTAACCCAGTTCTTTTAGGGTGAATAGATGTGTTCTGATATTAGCCATTATTTTTCAGTACTCTCAGTTTATTCTCCAGGGTGGGACAGATCAATAAGCGCAGTAGCAACCGACCCAAAAGGAAAAGGCAATCTCCTGGTGCTTCTTATTTATTTCTTCAGAGTCGATTTCGTTTTTCCTACCTCTTCCCCTGGTGACGGATTTTGCCTTTCCTGCCCAGAATGGCCGTGTTGTTTTATCCTGGGCTCTATTTGCATGTGAGCTTCAGATTCATCTTTGGCTCCTTGCACGGTTTGGGATGAGACCCTCCTGTCCCCAGAGAGGGGGGCAGGTGTTGCTCCAGTCGAGCGAATGGAACCAAATTACAGGACCGTCTGTCGCCTCCTCTGGGAGCCGGCAGAGGGAGGGGAAGAAGGGGAGGGGAGCGGGTTGCAGTATGACAGAAAAGAAAAGCAGAACATCATACTGATGCCGATAAGAGCTTGAAAACACGAGTTACCCTAGCCCACAGCCCAACCCAAAACCAGGCAGCAGCCACCTGAAAGAGAAATATTAGGAGCAAAGACAGAAATAAATTGAGTCACTGGGC